AAACTAGAATTAGATTTCAGTGTAGATGAGATCCTTGCATTCTTTAAATATGGAGATAGTATATTTAATCACACCATCTATAGCAGCATACTAAGATTAGTTGTAAGACTATTACACTGAGTATAAGGATCAGGATACTTTCTTCAGTTCTGTACCCCAATTTTAATAGAGTTATTTAATGGGCCCCCAGACTGATAGCTGGGAAGCAAGCATGGGACTGACTCACGTCCCCCTGAATATGGGACTCAGCCAGAAGGACTGAGCAGTCTAAGGGACATCAGACAGTGGAGCCAGGATGTATCCCTGGTGCACAAAAGGACCTTGAGAACACATCCCCCATGGAGGAATAATTGCCTTAACCTAGAGACAGGAGAGAAGCCCTAGTCCCTACTTCAAATGACCTGTCAGATCTACATGACCCCAACTGGATGGCATTGCCCTACATATGAAATTGGGTTGGGGGGATGGGAGGGGAGGGTGGTTAGGGTGCATGTGAGAGGGCAGAGGGGGTAAAAGGGAGGGAGGGAGGGGGGAGAGAGGGAGGGAGAGAGGGATGGAGGGATGGAGGGAGAGGGAACTGGGATTGAAATGTAACATAATAAATTGAAAAAAGGATCAGGATAAACAAATAGGTTGAATAGATGTTTATTCAGGGAGAAATAACTTACAACCTAGACAGATGAACACAAGCAAGTTCCATCGGATGCTCTTCTGCTCTTCTCTCTGCAACCCACCAGCCAGAAAGTATTCCCTGGCTCCTCCTCACACCTCCTTCCACAGGTCACTTCCGCCCCTGGCTCCACAGCCCCCTATGGGCGTGGTCTGTGCCACAGAAGGAGACAAAGTGAATATCTCACTATAATTCCCCTTTTAGTCTAAAGAAAAGATTTAGGCTTAATACAAAACTATATACAAAACAGTGAATAACAAGTGTGCTCTAAGAAAAGGGAAATCGAGAACAAAACAACCTACCAATCTAGTCCTAGGGTGAAGGCATAATGGAGTTTACAATAGAGTTGTCCTAAGCTGGAAAAACGTAAGTATAGTACCTTATATATCTAAGTAGGAAGAGAGAACAATAGTTGTGATAGTTTAATCTTCAACATCATCAAGACCTGAGAAAGAAAACGATACTAGGGTGGACAGGAAGTGTGGATGGGCAACTTCCAAAAGGTGCAGTGAGGACAGAAACAGCAAGCTCCCTGGACAGTCACCCTAGGTCTCACAGCAATGTTGGTACACCCAGTTTGGGCTAAGGCTAAGAGTACTTGACAGACCACAACAACAGCAGGGAGGTAGAAAGGCTGTCTTCTCTATTTGTCTCCTGCAAGCACATAGGACTGCATGTCCAAATCAGTGGTCAAGGTGGAGGCAGTTCTTTGCCCAACAGGCCATTAGCTGAGGCAAGAATGGACTCCAGCAGGAGCAACAACAGTGTCCAACATATTTTTAGGAAAGTGCATGGTGCTGTCAGGAGTAACAGTGTCTCATGTCAAGGGAGTACTAATATTAAAACATTTCAATGCCATATTCTGCATGTCTATGAAGTGATTGAAGATTAAGCATCTATGTCTGACTAATCTCATAGGTAAAGGAAACATGAGTGAAGATAATCTGTAACACTCAGGAACTTAGCTAAAAATTTGAATGAAACTTCCCTGATTAAAGCAGGGACAAATGCCTAAACAATATAACTATGTGCATATACATACATATAAATCCCTAAACCATTAGACCTAATCTCAGGTTTCTGATTCTCACCTCATGTGTTGAAAAGTCTACAGGAGTCAATCCCTTTGAAACAGAAATGTTACAGTAAACATAATGTTTGCCAACCCTTTTCACTCATAAAAACTAGAGCAGAACTATGTGATATCAATTGTTTCCTTTCTTTACAAAAAAAAAAAAAAATGTACAGAACCACCTCTCTGTTCTTCTTGGATAGAAATATTGTCCTGATTGATTTCTATAAGCTGGAAGACTAAACTAGGATAAGGTTCTGTATATTATTTGACACCTTTTTCCCCATTTGTTTCTGCAGAGATAGCACCACTGTGTAGCATAGACTGGCTTTTGGACTCTCAGGCTTTCTGACAGACTCCTAGCTGCTGGATTTGCAGGTGTGTCCCATCAGGCCCAGCTCTCCTCACAATGTCACTGCAGAGTAGGATGGCAAGCCTTAAATTTTGACAAGTCTTAAAACCTCATATTTGCATTTGTTATTCTTATAAGCAGACCATGAAAATACAGAGCATTTAGACATAAAAATTTGAGGGCGATTAGGATTTTTGGTTAGTTTAGTGTAAGTTTTATGTGTTCCACATTGCAAATGCCATTCTGATTTTTACTACATCAAAATGGTACACAATGGATTTGTATTTGCCCATGAAGATCAAAGTAGGAAATTTTCACAAAATGGGAATTATTACATGAGGTAATCCATACTCATAAAGATAAATGACTATAGATAGGCATCACTATTATTGCAGGTCTAGGTCATGGAATCAGAAAGGAAAAAGTGAATGAGACAAGGAAAGCAAAGAAAGTATCATGTAACATGGAAGTTAGAAGACAGAAAGGTCTAAGATAGAGTAGCAGGAACCAGGGAGAGAAGAGTCTTTAAAAACTATGTGTGCAAATAACAGAATAAAATTCATTACTTCATATGGCAAGTTAAAAGTGAAAATAATTTTTAAAATGACAAAATTAGCCTATTGTTTTCCATAAAAATCATCATTACAGAAAGCATGACAATTTTCAGCTTTAACGTTTGCAAGTAACTCCTTTCATAGAAAAGAAATTATTTAGTTGTAGAAAGAAAAATATATATTAATCCAAATGATAACCATGTGCATAAATTACTTATATCTAACTTTCTGGTTAGTCTTTGGTTAACTAGAAACAAGCTAGAGTCATTTGGGATTGTGGACCCTTAACTATATACATGAACATAGCACACATACCCACTGATCATGTTGCACTATACTTTGCTCAGTCATGGAGTCTGAATTGCACATGGGTGATAAAATTGCTGCTGGATGGATTTGCATTTATTAATGTTATTCTAGCAGAACCACTCCTTGAGAACTCCTTGTTGGTAAACAAAATATAAGACTGGCCAGAGCACTGGTATTTTTAACACTAATAGCCAATGTTATTTACAACTCAAAGCATGGCCTCTACTCTGGTTTATCTAAACTATTTGGGGACTTAGTTGAAATGCAGAGGATCAGGTCCAGTTTATACAGAGAAATGAGAATGGACACTTAACCTAATATCAAGGTACTCTCTCAGTATGTTGAAAATTCAGAGACACTGGCCTGCCTCACAATTGATATCTCAGTAACTTTGGGTGGGTCATGAAACTGCACATATGTGATTCCTAGGCCATATTAGTTTTGTTTATTGCTGTGTGGATATATCACTGGCTGGCATCAGAAGATCTGTGAGGGCACTCATGGGAAAGCATACCTGCTACGGTCAGAGAAGCCATTTGACCATGATTAGGACTCTTGTACCCCCACCTCCAGCAGTATGCAGTTTGAAGAATTTCCCTGACTACAAGGAAACAAAATGATTCTTCAATCTACTTTCCAGTGGTGAAGCATGTGTTTCATGAACCTGAGTTATCTCCTAAGTAATGAGTATACTAGGAATAGTAAAAGGGGCTACTCAGTTCAGAAATATAATCTAGGAAAAATAGCACCTAAAATATAAAATTAAGAAAAGATATGCAAACAGACAATGGCTGGAGCACATGTCCAAGCCAAATTCTCATCCCATCCTCTAGAACAACCAGTCCAAGATGGGAAAGCATTGCCTTGACCTCAGCCTAACTAGCATATGGTCAGAAATAGATGCAGATCTGAGAGTTTCTCTGTTTCATCCCTGTCTTCAACAAAGCACCAACCATGGAAATGCAAATTCTAGTCAACTATTCACTTAAGATGTTGTTTATAATTAGTTCAACAGACTCCCAGTTATCAGCATCCACTTACAGAGTACCTGAAGTCTTTCTTCACTAATACATTCCCATTCACATTCTTAAGGAATATAAGAAACAGATGCTGGCTCCATGTCTATAACAAACCAAACATCCTCTGTTTGCTCTCATCTTTAGGGTCGCTGCTTTCTTTCTAAAGATTTCATATTTGATTTTGTTAGACTTATTTTACAATCATATTTTGTCATATTTTATTTTTATGAACTCTAGCCCCTTCTGTAAGGCCTTGAAACAACCCTGAAATCTGCTTCCAATATGTCTCTGCCAACTCATACTCATTCCCCCACTCTCCAGCACCCTTCTCCTCCCTTAATGGAGGGCTTCAACCACAACATATGATGAATTAAAGCTATAGAGTGATTACTCATCCCAATTTTTCCAAAAATATACCTTTATTAGCAATTGAAGGCCTACATCCCATGAAACTCTCCAGGCATCAGCAAAGCTGCAAAGTTAGTTAACTCTGAAAGACTTTAATTTGTTATGCAGTTCCAATACTTATTCCCTGTAGATGGGGTTCCTTTTAGCAGGAATGCTTGTCTCACTTCCCACTGATAGTTTATAAACCAAGTAAACACTTTTAATTTACCAAGAACTTGTCTAAACAGCCATTCCTGGGCAAATCCTCTTGTTAGCATTTAACAACAATTCCTCACACCCTACTGCAAGAAACAATAAAGTGTACTTTTTCATTGATGTAACCTAGTATAGATGTGATCTTGTCACAGTGGTCTGACCTTCCAGACAGTGGGTTTCCCAAGGGCCAGTGTCTTGTTCTTCCGTTCCTGTCCCTACTGCTCCTAGCCCATGTTTGTCTATCTCATGAGTAAAATGACTGATGACTTAGCAAGTTTATTTATCAACCACTTGAACTTTTCTTTAAAATCAAATCCTAAAAGGCACAAAGACAAAGAGACAGGATATGTACACTACAGCTTAGGCAACTTATAAAGAAATAATGAACAATTAATTAAAATTGATTATCCAGATTACTCACCTCGATCTGGGTGGTGTTGTCCTGACCATCATCCAGTAGCAGGTCGGTGAAACCTCTGGACTCTGGTGAGTCTTGGCCCATGCTGGCTCTGTTTGTGTCTACTGCCTTAAAAGGGTCCAAATTTCTTTTCCACCTGTGGCTGTATGCTTGTGAGTCCACATCCACCACATCTTCTCCTCTGGGAAGAAATGTCTTTGAAACATCATACTTCCAACCTGTAAGAGAAACATGTACATTACTTAGAGGTGTGACTCATATACATAATACTTATTAGAGTAGAAAATGTACCTCTTTTGGTCATCAGAATAGGGAACGAACCTATTATAATAAAACAAAATTAATTGTCATACTAAACTTGGTATGGAAATCTGTGTATAATGGTTTAAAAGTAAAATGTGCTCCCCACATTCATATATAGGAAACTTGTTTCTCAGTCATTTGGCAGTAGAGCAGAGTCTTGCTAGAGGAAGGAGGGGACAGGGTGTGCCTTTGAAGTTTATACTTCATCCCCAATTTCCGTATGCTGAGACATGAATAGCTCCTTAGCACACATACACACATTGCCATGATGCTATCTATATTCAAGTGCACGAGGTACCTTGTATGGATATCTTCTGAAGCAGGACTCAAACAAGCTAACCTTCCTTCTCCCTCCTCCAGCCATTTGATTCCAAGTGACATAAGCATAACTGGTATGCTGCGTACAGTACAACTGCAGGGTACACCATAAAATGAACAATGGTTCCTATAGTGATGGCTAAGGGGCCCTCAAACACATAGGTCTACACAAATGCATTTATCTTCTCTATACATGTATACACACATGCACACACATGCACATGCACACACACACACTCACAGAGACAGAGAGAGACAGAGACAGAGATACAGAGATGGACAGAGAGAGAGAGAGAGAGAGAGAGAGAGAGCTGTTCTGACAAAGCAACATAGAATCCTAAACCAAAGAATAAAAGACACGCATCTTCAGCTTATTGTAAAACAAATCACAGGATGAATGTGTGAGCTTATACTGATTTTACACATCATATACAAGGCTGCAAATGGACAATGATACTTGAATGGGTTAAACAATAGTGGAATTTTCCTCCTGTAAACATGCTAACCTGTCTTGTAGTTTACAAACCAGACTTGGTTCATTGCCTGACTCATTTGATAAGCAACACTCTCAAGAGGTATCACAAACATGCTTGTTCATTTGCACTGTCCTCACCTTGGGAACTTGTCAGGGTGGTAAAGGTTGGCATTGACAGGCACTTACAGAAATGGATGGGACAGCAAGGAGATCAAATCACAAATGTATTTTAAAGCCATCTGCAAGGACTGGCACTGCTGACCTGTCTCATTCTGCCTCTACAGGAGGGAAAATTAGATTTAATCATGACTCCTAGTCTTTCATTTTAGTAGGTCAGTAGGGGATGGAATACCACAAGGATTGAAAATTCAGTTTCCAAGTAAGAACAGCCTGCTACCCAAGCATTACCAAAAGATAGTAATCTGTAGCCTTTATAATTCATCTGGTATGGGTTCACAAAGGGCCAAGAGAACATTGATTTAATCATGGATGTGATGTTCCTCTCACTACAAGAATGCTTTGTGAAACCTAAAGGTATTTGATGCTGAGTATTATTGAGTGTAATGCAATATCAGCAACTCATGACTTCAAGCAAATAGGCCACCACTACCACGATTTTTCAGCAACCAAAATGGCTGGATTCCCCATAAGCCTTGCAAACAAGAGGAGCAGTCTAGTTTCACTAAGATCTAACAGATATTTTAAAGTCTTGTGTATTGATAGATGGGGTCTTAAGAAGCCTTAATAGAATAATCATTGAGATCTATGAAGAACAATGGGTACCAAATTTCCACCAGTAGAAATCTGGGATCCCAAAAGAAGAAGAAGAGCTGTAGTCCTGTCAGTGAAATGCTCATCTAAAGGGACCCATATGCTTTGTGAATGGTTTCACAGCCTCCCTCAGTCACTCTCCATGCACTGAATGCTCAGGAAGAACATCTAGTTAGTACTGTCGACTTCACTGTGGAAAATATTTATTTGCAGCACTCTGCCTCTGCCTGGTATTAGACTTCAATATTCACTGAATGACTGAGTGAAGGAACATACTACATTTTCTTGGGCACAAAAAAATAATAAGGAAAAATAAGTAAGATTCCAGGGTTGAAATGCTGTCTATCTGTTTGATGGTTATGGGTCCAAGGTAATTTGTAAAATTCTCCAGGTTATTGTTACCACATTTTAAGTCACATAAGACATAGCTTACCTGGAAAGGCAAACATCTATTCTTAAGGATATGTCTGGATCTAAGAACTATGGTACTAGGCAAAGACACACGAAGCAATTTGTTTGCCTAGATTGTATAACCAGCCTCATTATTGAAAATATATGAGGCAGCTTACAACAAAGCTAAACTATAAAATTCTCTAACAACCACATAAGGCCTTCTGCTGCGAATCTCAGGTTAACCTCAGAGATGCCCATCTGCCTGCCAGGTAGGGTCATAGGTCTCAATGAGTTACAATAGTGGAAGCTGTGCCAAGTCTTTCTGGGCACTTCCCTCTCTCCCTCCTTTCTCTTGCCCTTCATCATGTCCCTTCTCCTTCCTCTTCTTTCTTTGAAATTCTTTTTATTTTTTTTTTTAATGTGATAAAGTTTTGCTAAGATGTACAGTCTGGTCTGGGGTTCTGCTATCCTCCTGCCTCAGCTTCCCTAGTGTCTGGCAGTACATTTGCATGTCATTGAGCCCAGCCTCTTTGTTAAACAGGTTGGGTTCACTTCTCTGACATTAAGAATTAAGATTACCAGCTCTCTTCTGGTCTATCACAGCTTAAACCAATTCTTCCCATGACTCTCAGCAGACTCACTATCCTCCTTCTTGGATGCAGAATCCAGGCACGAATAAGCAGCAGAACATCTATAAGTGCAAGAGGCCCTTTCATTGATTCTGTTTCTCAACTCCACAGGTGTCCTTTATCATTCCTTTCAGCCTTTTTGCTTTAAAGAATTCAAATTCAAAGGAGCTTCAGAACCATGCAAAGATAATGTCCATATTTCTCATTTTAGTTGAAATCTGATTAATGTGTTAAGCATTTGTTTAACACTCAAATTCACTTCTTTGCAGGATTTTCAGGACAGTAGAGAGAGCAGACAGGATTTTGGTAAAAGAAACTTACATGGCCACATGACTTTGAAAATCAGGGCCCCTGATAGTCTTGAATTCGTTTTCCTCATTGTTTAGTGATATCTTTTGATTAAAAAACAATTTGCTCTAAATACTTGAAAATAGTTCATTTTTACTGTCATATATTCATTATGCATATTAGTTGGGTTAACTGTGATACGTCACCCATCGCTACAGCATGCAGAGGACCCATAACACAGACACTGCAACCCATCTACAGCCACACAGCACTGTGCTGGCAAATGCTTGCTCTTACTAGAATCTATTTCTACAAACTGGGAAAGCTAACACTTTGCTCACTCTAAGAGGATTCACAAAAAGTGCACAAGCCCTGAGGAAGGCCTGAGAAGTTTCCTAATGACAGAATTTGTGAGTTTAGGGACTGGACTTGCAAAAAGCTGTTGAGTTGCAATTTTATAGTAAATTCTGTTTTTCTCTGATAATGTTACGAATAAACAAGGATACTCAATTATGCATATAAAATGCATCACTCTAGGCCCATAATGCATCTGATAGATACCTCAAGATGAAGGTATGAAATGGGCTTAGATGCTAATCCTATATCAGAATGCATTTTAGAGAATGTAACATAAATAAAAATGGATACTTTACAGAAATAAAGAAAGGAAAACTGGAAAAGTTACAGTTGTGTTATCTACATTGCAGTTACCTATCTGCATTTCAAGGGCCTTCACAATGCAAACAAATATCTTAAATTATTCTTTAAATTGACAACCAAACAAGCCATTCATAAACAAGAGAGAGGGAACTATGGGACACAATGTTTTCCTTGCCAGCATCTGTGAAAACACACACACAATTGGACAGCACTCTCAAAACTCTACTCAGCAGATTGTCTGTGGTCTGTCTACTGCATGCCACTTAAACAACCCATGGAAAACTTTAAAAGAGAATTTTCTCCAACATTCCTTACTTCCATAATTACTCAGCTCATGGAAACATTAACTCTTTAACAACTTCCATTTGGATATAAGGGGAGAAAATTTCACAAACACATACTTCTGTTATATTCAATAAGCAATTTGATACCAGTACATCTTCAGATAGTTTATTAGGTTGAAACAATAGATATATTGTCATTAGTAAAGGTATTTCATTATATTTCCAGTAAGACATCAACGTGAAGCCTCACAGTGATTAGTTAACCTGAAAGGTCAAAACACTCTAAAAGCATCCTCACAGAGTTCTGTATAATCTCTACAGTCCCTTCTATGTCCTTGGGGTGGAATCACTTTGGAAACAAATCTTTTGGTATGCTTGTAAGAGGTTACTTAGACTTAATTGGTAAGGCTGGAAGATGTCATTAATGTGGGTGGGACCACCCTACGTACTGGTGTACTGGGGTCTCAGACTGGCTGAAAAGGGGAAATCAAGCTGAGCTCCAGGATTCAGCACCCTCTGCTTCTATCTCCTGCCACCATAAATGCCCCATCATGACAGCAACCCAGGAAACACAAAGGAAGATACATTTTCTTTCGTTCTTAAGTTGCTTCCATTATATACTTTATTTTCCCAACAAGACAAGTATTTAACAAAACTATCTTATGCCAGGGAGTAAATAAAGCAAAGGGCAAGAAAGTGGTACTGGGCTGGATATATCTGTTTTATGTCACATCCTAATGCATCTATTTCAATATTTTACAAGTAATTGATAGTTGTGTATTGAAAAAAATTAACCCCCTTTCTTGACTACAGAATACAAATGACGCTCATAATAAATATACATCAAGACACCAGAAAGTCATTGTATGCATGAACATGAATTGTACGAAGTTAGAATTCATCATTACTGTGTCTATTAACATGTCCTTGTTCTGTACTTTATGTATGTTAAGATATGCACATGCTGTGTGTGTGTGTGTGTGTGTGTGTGTGTGTGTGTGTGTGTGTGTGCAAGCATGTGAGAAGTTGTGTGTGTTTGTGTGTGGGTGTGGGAGTAGCAGCCAGAGGATGGCATTATCTTTCTCAATAGCTTTTCA